AAATAAATAAATAAATAAATAAATAAATAAAAATAAAAAATGGCTTGAAGATCTAAGATGCATTTGAACCGAAGCTTTCATCGTATAAATAGAAAAGCCAGTAAAACAATATTGGACTCGAAGAATACTGAAAACTAACCAACACCAAGGCTTCGCTGGTCTCTTCTTTTTGCGCCCCATAGAAAGTAATAATACGAAATCTTAATACACTGAAAATTAAAAGATACTACTAGGGACATACAGTGGTAAGAAAAACCGTAAGAAAAAATCAAATCATGCATAACAACATAAAAGCATTTATTAGCCAAATAAACAAAAGGAAAAAAAACCAGGAAGTAAAATGGAAATGAAGTTTTTTTGAGGAACAAAAACACCTGGCTGGAGAAAGGAGTAATCATTATTAGCATTTACTATTTTAGCATTCTTACGGTTCATTAACCATTCTGTTTCATGATGACCTCAATCAAACAGACCAATCAAACTAAAATGATTCAAAAATAAAGTTTGGAATTATTATGGAACTGCTGAAAAACAATGAAACATTTAAGCATTCGACTTTCGACCGCAGCAAAATTTATTTCGAACCACTGCCAAAGTGAATAAATAAATAAGAAGAAAAAAAAAAAAGCTGAAAAACCCTACAACGCCACAATGCTCATTCCGCAAATAATCAAGAAATAACAAAAAATAAAACCGAAAAAAAAAGTAATGAAAGGAGTCGGACAACTACGGCCAAGCAAGAAACCAAATGCAACACCAGTCAGGCTGTTTATAGCAACAGCTCTAAGCACACACTGTCAAAAGACGCAGAAAAGAGCCAAATTAATATTGTGCTTCGCTATGTTTTCGCTACAAGACTCGCGCCAGTTTGAAACGATCCATTTGGTTCAGTGCTGGCAGCTTTGATGTGCTGCGGTGCTCGCAAAATAACGTTGAAACAACAGTTTCTTTACGCAGTTCCTTTTGCCGCATTTCAAATAGGGCTCCTAGCCAGTATCTGGTAAGGTGTTGGGCTTCAAGACTTTAAGTAATAAAGTTCCTTGCAAAAATTTTATCGTGAGACTTGCGCGACGGCCATACTTCAAGTATAAACAGAGCATTTCTTCGCCGCAACAGTCAGCTACTTAACAGAAAGAAACAAAAGTTCTGAACTGATCTGCCAGCAACAGTGACTTTTTTCTATACACTTCATAGGGTCAGAGTAGCTAGACGTGAGTTTCTAATAGTACTTATTTTTTATTATAAGTACTTTTAGAACAGTTGAGAATGCCTGTTACAGATCAGCAAAACTAAAAGGTACGCTGAACTTAAACTTTCTTAACCAATAACGAAAGGAGAAAAAGCCAATATAAAGAGCTTTGTAAGAATACAACTTCTTACATTTGACAACAATTATTTACAGTATTAACAAAGTGTTAATATAAAGTTCCAGCATCTTTTCTTAGTTTATATAATACCATAAAAAATCCTGCTCAACGGTAATTAACTGAAATCTAAGTTAGAAGAAAGTTCTGTAATTATTTGGATTTGATTGATGGAACCAATTCGGAATTCGAATCCTGTCTACTCAGTAGTTTAAAATATTTGCGGAAAAAACATTCTTAAAAGCTTTAAAAAAACAATCAAAAAATAGCCTGCACATTTCTTTTATTAAAATTTTAGTTTTTTGGAGGTATATGTGTGACCGCGAAGGTAAAAGTCGGTCTGAGTATGGACCACTGACGAGCAAATTAGGACCGTAAGAAGCATTGACCAGCTGATTTCTTATTATTTTTTCTTCGTCTTCGTTCTCAAAGTTTCGTTGAAGACAAATTTCCCCAGTTTCTTTTTAGGTCTGTAATGGTAAGGGTTGCTCTGCAAAAAGAAATTGTTATATTTTTTTAAAAGATGGTACTTTAGTGGTAAGATGATGTTTATTGTTTTACCTCTTTATTGGTTGCATATTAATAAGTTAATTGGTAGTAAAAAGGAACTAAGAAACGTGGTGAAAGGTTTAATAAATAAAGTAAGAAGGTTAAAAAGCGGTCAAAATGAAAGGTAAGATCACAGTTGTACAGTTGTTGAGATTTTTTAATCTAAGAAGTGGAAAGAAGGAAAATTGACGCTTTGTTAAAAAGTTGAAAGAGGAGCTAATAAGGTTTTGAACTATAGATGTTTTGAAAAAAAGCGTTAGCGATGGTTTTTTAGACCAAACTGATGAGTTTTAAGTTTCGTATTGATATTTGTGAGCATAAAACATACATAAATCATACATACCCGATGATTTCGATAAATTTTTCAGTTATTTATTTAGAAGTTAAGACTAAAAATTAACATTGTATTAAAGCAGACTTCTATGACTGCCATCTCAGTGGCATATTGACAGTTGGGTATAGTGTTTATAAGCTAGGTCTTTACAGGCTATTGATTACTGCTGTTAATTCAGAATAGCTTAAGCAGTCTCGTACCAGAAATATAAGATTAGAACGTTGCAGAACTTGCAAATCTTTTTACGAAGATGAGATCGTGAGGAGCAGATCATTAGTTTTGGAGTATAGAAGTCTGCTTTTCTTAAACTCTTCTTCAAACTTTGCGATTCAGTAGGGGAGGCACAGTTTCAAGGAGCTATTGAAATATATAAATTGTACTGCCGAATTAAATACCAAATGAACGTTTGAAGATCTCATGCAGAAAGAAATTTTATTTCTGGAAGCTTTTGCAGCTTCTTAGATGCTAGCTAATTAATATTAATGGCTAATAACAGCGGCGTTTAGATTAGGGAAAATTTATTAAAGCTTTCTAAGCTTTCCGTGGCTTGTGACGTGTTTCCTATGAACATAAGTGTGGAGAGGATTTATCTTGATGTTTTTGCAGTCTTTCTAGAATTATCGGGAAATCTGTGGAACTGAACTGTCACTAGTTTTGGCACTTTTTTCGTAATGCTACTGCAGCCTTACTGTTAACCAGTAAATGCTACCACCTCATGAGGATGGAGCAGGAATTAAACTGCAGTGATCGTCTATGGGAATACCTATCTGCAAGGGAATTTCAGCTCTTCAAAAAATTTTATTTTTATAAGTATTATTATTAAAAATACACACAGTGTAAGTTACTGGAATCAGTCTAATTTTTAGCATATAAATCATTACTTTATATATTACTGGTGAATATAGTGTCTTCTGCTTTACAATGCCGATCTGTGTAACCAAGTCACCGTATAAGGGATAATAAATAGGTGTTATGGAGTTAACCATAAATAAGCTAAATGTTGGATATACACGTATTAGCATCTGGTACGGTTCACTTCCTTTACATGGACAATGCCAAAGAATCTTGAAAGAGTAAGCGACGACCTCTATTTATTGACTGAAGATAAAAATAATGGCTTTTGGTGTTCAATTCTTAGTGCATCCATTTTCGTTTATCATTTTAACATCAGTTTTACTGCTATCTATAAAAGTAATACCATAATATTAAAAAAAATGTAAGCTCTAAAGGGTTTAAACACTAGACACCGTTTAAAGCCGGATCCGTTTGTAAATTCGGTTACAGTGATTACTGATCATAATTTTAAAATTTGACTTCTCAACAGGGTAAATGTGCTTTTTTTGGAATTGGTTATTGGAAAAACTCGTTGTCCACAGGTAACTTACAGGACTTTTAAGGTTTTAAAAATCTTTCAAACTGTATTGTGAGTGATGGAAAAGGATTATTCTGTCAAAACACCGTTATTCTTCAAAATTTTTTAGTGTTTTTAGGTGTATCGTTAAAATAAATAGTGTTGCGATGTATTAAGTGAAAAAGCGGTTGAAAAAAATCAGCTATCTGGTTACAATTTAAAACAAAACTTTATTTTCACTCTAATCCATCGACGTCGTATTCGAGAAGCATATCAAAAGGCTGGTCCCATTCAGAAAACATCAAAAAAACAACGTTGTTTTATAGTGTTATCGTAGGCATAAAACAGTTTCTCATTTTTCTTTGTAGTATAGAACGGATACAGAAGTTTTGTTTGAAAAGCTCCGTGTCTGTTACTCGGGAAACACATTAAAACAAATATCTCAAAAATGCTGTTCTTTTCGTCTCATTGTCACTGCACAACAAATCGCTAATTTGACAATCTCATTTTTTCGTTTTTAAATTTTGTTAGATTTGCAAAATAATATATAATTGTAATAAATAGCTATAAAATCTTTAGCTTAAATTACAAACGAAATAGCGAAGGAGATATTTGATAAGTTTTTACTGCACACTAAGCGGCACTATGATTATTGTGAACCATAATAAAAAAACATAAAAAAAAAAAAAAGATAGAAGAAGGACAAATAGAAATAAAAACAATTATTGCCTTGACTTTTGATTTAAAATTTGGTTTTGTTTTTTGTTTATTTTCTTATTTTCTTCATTTTCCGCTATTTTTTTTGTGTCGGTTAACCAGCATTTTTATGCCTGAATATTTTGAACAGTGTTTAATCTGCTGCTACGTAAGGCCCCAAAAAATTGATATTAGTTTCAGAAAAAAATTGACATTAAGCAGCTTTGACAAGCTTAGTTCCAGTTCAAGTATTTTTCCTTTCAGCAAGCTTACTTAGTGGTAAACAAATGAAAAAGAAAAAAGCACTGCAGATTTATTTGTTGATAACTCTGTTTTTTTTTTTCCTTTAGCTGAACGTCATACAATTTCCAATTTTAAAAAGGATAGAAGAAAAAGAGGTTATTTTTTACAATTTCTCATTGACACTTAAAGTTGTACTGAATTTTTTTGTACAATATTTTTTACTCTCAGTCTATTGTAAGTCTCCAAAGCAATTACCTAATGGTCCTTACCAGATTTCGTTTACAAATTAATTTCTACTTTCTCAACTTTCATTTACATTTAGAATATTGACTGAAATTTTAGTGTGAATCTATTTATGATGTTTAAACAAGTGATGACAGGTTGCCATTGACGTTATACACCGAAAGTGTACGATTAATTTTTTTTTCAGAATTTAAACAATTATTTCAACAAATTAGAATACAGTTAAATTCCACATCAGTTCCAGGTTAAAAATAAAAAATTTACCACAAATACACCATACCCACCTTTTAAAAAAATTCATTTGTTTTTTACACTAATCAAACCTGTCTTTTAGATCTCTTTTTTTTTTTTTTCAAAAACTACTTTTTTTGGCTTAGATTTTTGAGAGAAATAATTTACCGTCGAAACAACTGTCTGACTGACAATCTAAAGTACCTGAAAAGAAACTAAACTATGTCAAGTCCATTTATTGAATGTTGTACATAACTGTACTTTGGACCATATAATTTCTTCTGTTTTTGGAATTTAGTGTTGATCATTCTGTTGTTAATTTAAAAAAAAATTTTTTTCCTGTATAATTCACTGTCGTTACCTTCTATTGCCTTTAAATTATAAATTTTTGACATAAGACTAAAAAGTGAAGAAAGAATAGATAACTATGT